ATCAATGCTGCCACCTAGCCAATCCATCTCGTTGGGGATCTTCCTCTTTTTCTCTGACCTTCCACCTTACCAAACATGATATCCTTCTCCAACGACTGGTCCCTCCTGACAACATATCTGAAGTACGAGAGACAAAGTTTGGCCACCCTGGCCTCCAAGGAGCACTCTGGCTGCACTTCTTCCAACACAGATCTGTTGGTTCTATGGACAGCCATGGCACTTTCAATATTCTCCTCCAACACCACAACTCAAAAGCATCAGTTCTTCTATGGTCTTCTTTATTCACTGTCCAGCTTTTGCATGCATATGAAGTTATCGAAAATACCATGGGTTGGGTCAGGCACACCTTAGTCCTCAAGCTGACATCTTTGCTCTTCAACACTTTGAAAAGGTCCTGTGCAGCAGATTTGCCCAATGCAATACCTTGTTTGATTTCTTGACTGCTACTTCCATGAGAGTTGATAAGAACCCATATATACACCAAGAGGCAATAGTTAGAACAAAAAAAGGGAATATTGAATAGTTTAATCAGGAAAGGTGTGCACAGAGTTGTATCCTGTCACCATACTTATTCAATCTGTGTGTTGAGCAAATAATATGAGAAGCTGGGTCATATGAAGAAGACAGTGGCATCAGGATTGGAAGAAGATTCATTAACAACCTATGATATGAAGATGCTGCAAACTTGCTTGCTGCAAACGAAGAGGACTTAAAATAGTTACTGACAAAATCAAAGACTATAGCCTTCAGTACAGATTGCACCTCAATGTAAAGAAAACAAAAATCCTCACATCCTCACAACTAAACCAACAAATAACATTATGATAGAGAGAAAAAAACAATGAAGTTGTCAAAGAATTCATTTTGCTTACATCCAAAATCAGCACTCAGGAATCAGCACTCAAGAAATCAAATGACATGCTACATTAGGCAAATCTGCTTCAAAGGACCTCTTTAAAGAGTTAAAGAGCAAAGACATCAATTTGAAAATTAAGGTGCACCTGGCTTAAGCCATGGTATTTTCAATGGCCTCATATGAATGTTAAAGTAGGACAATAAATAAGGAAGATGGGAAAAGACTAGATGTATTTGATTGACGGTACTGGAGAATAATAGGAAAAGTGCCACGGACTGCCAGAAGAACAAAAAAATCTTTCTGGAAAAAAGTGCAGCTATAATGATCCTTAGAAACCAGGATGGTGAAACCTCATCTCTCATACTTCGGACATACCTATCAAGAGAGACGAGTCTTTTTATCATGCTTGATAAAGTGGAGGGTCATAGACAAATAGGAAGAACTCAACAGAGATGTGTTGACATAGTTGTAGTAGCAATAGGCTCAAAAGTAACAATAATTGTAAGGATGGCACAGGATTGGGCAGTGTTTCATTCTGTTGTGCATAGGATCGCTTTGAATTAGAACCAACTTGCAGGCACCTAACCACCATAACAAATTTATGTTGCTGTTAAATGCTGTCTAATCAGTCACAATTCATAGCAGCCCTGTAAAAGGTTTCTGAGGAGTAGCTGGTGGGTCTGAACTTCCGACCTTGTGGTTAGCAGTCCAATGCTTATCCTACAGCACTACACCTTTAATATATTTATGTATGTCATATATATGTGCTATATACATTATATGTGACTCAAATATACCAAAGATTATGACAATGACACAGGACTGGGAAATATTTGTTATTGTTAAGTGCCATCCAGTTGGTTCCAACTCATAGTGACCCTGCATAGGATTTCTAAGGATCGGCTGGTGAGTTTGAACCACTGACCTTGTAGTTCAAATGCATTGAATTGGAGTCAACTCAACAACAAATAGCAACCATATGGTAGCGTAGTGGTTACGAATTGGGCTGCGAACCTAAAGGTCAGCGGTTCGAAACTACCAGCTGCTCTGCGGGAGAAAGATGAGGCTTTCTACTCCCGTAAGGATTTACACCCTCGGAAACCCTGTACAGGGTTGCTATGAGTTGGAACTGACTCGACGGCACGTAACAACAACATATATACATAGAGTTCAGAAAGCCATAGAAATATTTACCTTCTGATTCCATTTTTCATCAAACTTTTTGAAACTCCATCATATATTATTATGTTATAAAACCTCAAGTGGATTGAAACTCATAAAACTCATAATGACTCTGAAGAACACAATAGAACTGCCCCATAGGGTTTCTCAGGGTGAAACCTTTATGGGAACAGAGTTCTTGGTTCTTTCTTCCTAGAAGGAGCTGGTAAGTTTGAACCACAAAACTTTTAGTTACCAGCTGAGCACTTTAGCCATTATGCTACCAGGACTTCAAAAGGGGAATTAAAAGATAATGGAATTTTCCCACTAACATTTTGAAGCCCCGTTCTCTGTGTGTGTCTATATGTGTATGTAGGTATTCATATATGTGTGTGTATATGTGTGCACTGTAGGATGAGCAACAGATTTCTAACTGAAAGGTCAGCAGTCCAAATCCACAAGCTACTGCTTGAAAACTGTATACAGGGATGCTATGAGTGGGAATTGACTCAGCGACACTTAACAACAACAATATATATAGGCACACATATATGCATATGTGCCAGGGAATTGGTTCTAACTCAGAGCGACCCTGTATAGCTATATAGGGTTTCCAAGGAGTGGCTGGTGGGTTGGAATTGCCATCCTTGTGGTTAGTAGTCCAGCGATTATCCTACAGCACCACAATAGGACTCCAATGAGTATATATAATCACACATATATGTATACATGTGTATGTATATTTGTATTTATATAAAAATTGATATTGAGCTATTGACAAACAACCAAAACTTTTCATCTGTTCATTCTCAAACCCCCAAATTCTAATGCCCCTAATATTTAAAAATAAACATTCTTTGTTTCCATATTAAGAATGAGGCTGGGATGAGGTACTCAAAAGAAAGTCTAGAATCGGAGAAGAGAAGAGAGTCTGAAAAACCAGGAGTTCATGTGACCACCCAGGTGAGCTGATCTCTGTGGGACTGGTGAGAAAATTAGACAGCAGAAAGCATAATGGGGGGAAGAAACTGAGGTGTTGAAATTTGTATTAAGGGATGGTGTGGCACTGTGGGTTAATGCGCCAGACTGCAAGGTCAGTGGTTCCAGCTCATCAACTGCTCCTCAGAAACCCTATACAGGGTCACTATGGGTCAGAACCGACTCTATGGCACTTAACAACAACAATGTTCTCATGGAGAGAGGTTAATGAGAATTAGGAGAAGTTGGTCCCTCCCTGCCTTCCCCTTCAATCCACATCCCCAGTGTTCACGTAGAACATGTGGCATAGAAATATAGCTATTTGGTCAGCTAAGAAGAGCCTTAGTAGCTCAGTAGTTAAGCACTTGGCTGCTAACCAAATGGTTTGCAGTTTGAACCCATCATTTGCTCCATGGGAGAAAGATGTGGCTGTCTGCGTCCTTGGAAACACTATGGGACAGTTCTACTCTGTGCTCTAGGGTCATTTGAGTCAGAATAAACTCAAATGGCAAAACTTTAAAAACTATATATTTATTTTTTGGCCTCTGCTCAAACTATGGGAGCAGACTGGTCTTGTTCAGCTCAGGGAGGGAAGGGGATTTTGGCCATCACATTGACCATTTTCTGCACACTCTTTCAGATGAGGCGTGCATTCTATCCGAATCACTCACTGAGATGTTGCTCCATGCGAGGTCACTCGTCGTGTAGACACTGCTTTTGTGCAGCTGAGGGAACAGGAACAGTACTTCTTGGTCCCTGCCGCACAATACGTATTTATATTCACATGTGCCTGTTGTGGGAGCAGGGTCAGCAGATCACCATAATCAGGGTGAGCAGAGATTGCACTACTGATTTTTTTAGGGGAGTCACAGGCAGTCTGGGTGAGGGGAAGTGTGTGGGGAACAAACACTAGACCAATTAGGTCTCCATGGTCTCCTCCATTCTTGTACTTCCTGAAGGGGATGCTTGTGGGCTCTATTTCCTTTGATGAAGAACCCTTGGAGCTCAGAATCTTATTTATGTGCAAAAAAAAAGACAGCTGCCATTAAGTCAATTCCAATTCAGGGTAACCCATGTAAGCAGAGTAGAACTTCTCTGTAGGACTTTCAAAGCTGAGACCTTTCAGAAGCACATTACCAGGATTTTCATCAGAAACACCTCTGGGTGGGTTCAAACCACTAACCTTTCAGTTAGTATTTTGAGCACTTAGCCATTTATGCTACCCAGGGACTCCTATTTATGTACCAATTGCCTTTCTATTTGTAGTTTGGTCAAAGTGGTGGATACATCATTTTAGCATCTGTAAACAGACTTATTCTTAAGGGAAGGAATGGGAAAAAGAAAAGGAAAAATCACCAACACAGTTAAGTTTCAAATAAGAGGAATCAACAGATGAAAAGATATAGGAGTACCAGTTTATTGGTTATTCCTTCTAAATGTATCTCCATTTTTTGCTCTATGGAAGTTAGAACTGGGCAAGAATAGGTCAAATAAATGGTCATAGAGAGCAAGAATCTTCTCAATGGGCCCTGCCACTTTAAACGTGATGTGGTCATTCTGTGTGTACATTTTACAGAAGGAGTGTAACACCTCTAGGTCTATTCTTTCTTTGACAGGGATCACAAGAATTATCAAAAACAGATTCTCGAGGGTATCTCGCGCGAAATCAATGGTCCCGGACATCACAGCGTCCATCCACTAGGGCTCCATCCACTGACGAATCCAGAAGCAGGAATGCCAGTCTTAAGGTAGAGATGGAGATGAAAAGGAAAGACTTGATAAAATAAGGATTAAGGTTATTTATGATTCCTGTGTGCCATGCCCTGTCCCGCATGCATAGGTTAGGAATTTAGTCCTCACAAAAAATCACTCCCTCTCATTTTTACAGCTGAGAAAACTTAAGCACAGGTAGCTTGCCTAAAGTTTCACATTCATAAGTGGTAGAACTAAGATTAAAACTCAGGGTCTCTATCAGTCCAGAGGCTACCCACTTGATTATGATACTCTATGGAGTTCTGGTAGCGTAGTGGTTACGAATCGGGCTGCGAACCTTAAGGCCAGCAGTTTGAGACTACCAGCCGCTCCACAGGAGAAAGATGAGGCGTTCTGCTCCCATAAAGATTTACAGCCTCGGAAACCCTGTACAGGCTCGCTATGAGTTGGAACCAACTCAACGGCACTTAACAACAACAACAACAACAATGGTCTCTCAATCTTTCATTAATACAACAAATGTTTATTTTGTTCTATGAAATAAAATGCTGAAAAATTAATTTTCATCCCCTCTCAGAGAGACGAGGGGATGAAAAATTGTTGAAATGTATTAGATTGTAAAACATTTAAAACTCTTAACCAGACCAGGCCACAGAAACCAAACAGTTAGTTTTGAAATTAAGTTTTTTTTTTGATGCAGAAAAAGGAACACAGACCCAACCACTTGGAGAACACCTATTCCTGACTGATTCCTGTGCTCTTTACTTCTCTGTCATGTTTGCCTCAATAATCTAGCCCAGAATGTGACTTTCAAGTTACATGGGAAGCCATTATAGAAACAGAAATAAAATATGGATGTTCATCTACCTTAGTAAAGGGCTCGTTTCCCTAGAATGGACCCTTCCTGTTTAGGGAGCTCATTCTCTCTGATCAACCTCCCACTGGTTTATGAAGTGTTGAAGGCAATGAGAGGCACTCTCTTCTCCGAACTATCAAGCACTCATATCATAATCCCTTGGCAAATGTGAAAATTTAACAGAGACACTCTACTGTCAGTGTAAAATCCTCTGGTGGAAACACAGTGTAGTTTCCTCATCTAGTTAATGAAGGTCTCACATGGAAGTCGTGGCAGAGAAATGCCCGTTAATTACTCAATCTCTCTGCCCTCCATGGAAGGCTCTGATTGAGTAGGAATATGGGAGGCAAGGGACAGAACTTTGCAAACTATGTCATGAACAAAGAAAAGGACATGTGTCCCACCAACAAATATGTGAAGTGCTGACAAAGGAGTTGTTGGGGAAGAAAAGACGGCTGTTCCTCTGTACATTTTACAGAAATATCAAATGTTTTGGAACATCTAAAGTCACTTTAGTGACTAAAGAGACTGAAAATGCCCTGGTGATACAGTGAGCTAAATGTCTGGCTGCTAAGCGAAAGGCCATTAGCTTCTCGTAGGAGAAAGATGCGACAGTCTTTTTCCATAAAAAATTTGTCTCAGAAACCCTATGGTGTGGTTCTACTCTGTACTATAGGGTAGCTATAACTCTCGGCAGTGGGGTTTTGGGTAAAGGGGCTGAGAGTTAAACCAGAATACATTTAGAGGCAGGAATAGAACAGGGAGTGTCTGGGGAAAGGGAATAGGGCTGAGGCAGAAGACTGGCTGGACTGAGGCAGGGACCTGCGTGGGCTTCGAATCCTTATGCTTTTTTTTTTTTTTTTCTTTCTCGTTTCAGCTCCCTAACAGCAACACCACCTCCAGGACTCCATCCACCTCCCCTAGCCAGCATGATTCCACTCCGCAGCTGTCTGCACAGTCTTCGCCTCCCACACAGTCTAAGCAACCCATGCCTTCAGTATCGCGGCCTCCCACACCCCCGGAGCCCCAGCCAGGCTCCAGGCGCAGCACCAAAATGCAGGAGAATCCGGAAGCCTGGGCTCATGGCATAGTCCGGGAAATCCGGGAAGCCCGAGAATCACAGCCACGGGATTACCCACGCACTCCCCCCACCGAATGGAGGGCCTATGCTCAGCGCAGGGGCTCCTACTCAATCTCCCAGCAGGACCGTGACTGTTTCTCGGACCAGCAGGGGCAAGACCAGGACGAGGATGAGGCTTACTGGGCATCCCTGAGAACGATGTATGAGAAGACTCCTAGCAGCTCACGTCCACGGCCAGTAAGTAGGACCCGTTTAGACCTCTCTTCACAGCCTAACAGTCCAAACCTTTCTCCCCACTGTCCAGTGTGCAGGAGGCCTGCCCTAGCTCCCTGCCACTACCCAACTTCTCCCCACTAAAACCTGCCTCCCGGCAGCCTCTGGGAGTCTGAATCGTCTACTATCTCAAGAGTCTCCTTTATCCAAATTGTGGCTCAGCTATTTTCTCCACAACCTACCCTAGCAGGATTCCTTCCTGTCCGACTGGCATCACTTTGTCTATCCTCTCTGCAGCCCAAACCCAAACATGCCATCACCATTGCCGTCTCATCCCGGGCACTCTTCAACATGGTGGACGGCAGGAAAATCTACGAGGAAGAGGGCCTAGAAAAGTACATGGAATATCAGCTCAACAACGAGCACGTCATCTTGACCCCAGGACCCGCTTTCCGTTTTGTTAAGGTACTCTGCAAGGCAGTTTAGGGTCAGTCAGGAGGCTGCATGGTGCCAGAAGGACCCCAGACATTCCACTGGTAGCTTGTTCAGTTTCCCTTATCATTCCCAACCCACTCGTGTCATGCTTGCCCCTTCTGGTTAACTCCAGGTCAGTTTATGCTTTCACTGTGACTTCGGGACCCCAGCCTTAAGACCCAGGTTTGGGATGTTGGCTTTCCCCGAGTGGCTTTGAAATTATGGGCCTGCAATCGAAGCCCATGAAAATAGTAATAAATTTAGTATTGAGGAATAGAAATACAATACTTTACTAAAATGAGATGAAATTACTTTTTGATGCTCTGACCCCAAAACATAGCCTATTAAGAAAACCAAGATGCTCTTGGCACTTAGAGGTTGGTTTTTATATACCAGATAACGTTCTCTGAAATTATACAGAAATGTACAGCAATTATAACTTTGATCTCACACATAATATAAACTAATACTTCTCATAACAAAATAAAAACAAATGATGCCTCTACAAGTTGCAGGTATAAATACTTATAGGGCATACTTGAAACTTGGAAGGAAATCACAAACCTAGCCTCAAAATTCAGATTTAAAAAATAGACAAACTGTAGAAGGCTTAGTCTGATCCTTTGTTCTATTTATCCTGCAGAGATAAATCCTAGAAAACTAAATGTTGTAACCATTTTACACAAGCATTGCCCATTTATGTAGACATAAACTGAGGTCCTTTGTCTGAGAAGCTGAAAATCCAGAAACGAATGTCAGAACTCTGCCCTAAAGGAGCCTAATCTTTCAGTGAAGTCTTCAGAACTTGAATTTGACACTAATGACATCTTTATTCTCCAGTCTCCCAATGCCCACCTTGCCTGCCTCTCGTTACACACATTCATGTTTGTAACCTGCAGGCACTGCAGCATGTCAATGCTAGACTCCGTGAGCTGTATCCTGATGAACAGGACTTATTTGATATTGTACTGATGACTAATAACCATGCCCAAGTGGGAGTGCGGCTTATAAACAGCGTCAATCACTATGGTAAGTAAAATAAATACCATGTGGAAGACTTACTTGCTGCTCTGGAAGAGAGAAGCCATGTTATTTTGCTAACTGTGTCCTAACTAATGCAGTGTCTTTGATACTGACACCCCCTTCTGCGTGAGGAATGTTTATTTGCCTATGTCAGAACAAGAGAGCCCATGTTCATTTTTAACTCCAGCACAGAGTTGGACCCAAAGCTTAGGATTTAACTTGTCAAGTGTGAATTTCAAAGTCTTAATCCTAGGTCCTGCAATATATTTCTCTGTTTTATGTTTTTCACTTCTGAACTTGACTTCAAGGAGCCGTCAACCCAAAGGTTTTCTCTCTATGATCAAACTTCTTGCTCACCACAGATAAATGTTAAAGGTTTTCACCTCTCCTTTCTACTCTTACAATTCGGTTTTCCTCATCTGCTCCTTCTCCCAGCATATCAAGTCCATGCTCATAAGCAGCAAACAAATCTTTATTCCTTTACATGAAAAAGTTATTATATATTTGTTGTTGTTTGGTGCCATCGAGTCAGTACCAACTCATAGCGACCTTATGCACAGTAGAATGAAACACTGCCCGATCCTGGGCCAACCTCACTATTGCTGCCACGCTTAGTCCATCGATGCTGCTGCTTTGCCAATCCATCTCATTGGGGGTCTTCCTCTTTTTCTCTGACCCTCCACTTTACCAAACATGGTATCTTTCTCCAGTGACTGGTCTCTCCTGACAATATGTCCAAAGTATAAGAGATGAAGTTTGGCCATCCTGGCCTCCAAGGAGCACTCTGGCTACATTTCTTCCAACATGGATTGTTGGTTCTTTTGGAAGCCCATGGCACTTTCAATATTCTCCTCCAACACCATAACCCAAATACATCAATTCTTCTATGGTCTTCCTTATTCACTGTTCAGCTTTCACATGCATTTGAGGTTATTGAAAATACCATGGCTCGGGTCAGGCACACCTTAGTCCTCATGCTGACATCTTTGCTCTTCAACACTTTAAAAAGGTCTTGTGCAGCAGATTTGCCTAATGCAATACATCGTTTGATTTCTTCACTGCTACTCCCATGAGTGTTGATAGTTGATCCAAGAAGAATGAAGTCCTTGACAACGTCAATCTTTTCTCTGTTGATAAGAATGTAGTTTATTGGTCCAGTGGTGAGGATTTTTGTTTTCTTTACATTGAGATATAATCCATACCGAAGGCCATGCTGTTTGATCTTCATCAGTAAATGTTTTAAGTCCTCTTCACTTTCATCATTAATACCTATAGTCTCTTCATAAGGTTCTCATCACTTGTGTTGGGGAGGTTAAGAGAAAGTACCCCAATTTTCCTATTATAGAATTACTTAGCTTCTAATTTGGGGGACTTTTGGTTTATTTTGTAAGTGGCATACCCAGTCTTTTGAAGACACGTCAAAATAAACCTATTAGGTTGTTCTAGGCATGTATATGTGGACTCCTGTGTAGGGCCGTAGATCAGCACTGGACTATAACCCACAGAGTCGGTGGTTCAGTAGTTCAAAACCACCAGCTGCTCCTTAGAAACTTTATACAGGGTCACTATGAGTCGGAACCGACTTGAAGATACTTAACAACAAACAATATTCTAATATATGAGATCTATATTGTTGTTGTTGTTATTAAGTTTAGGGCTTCTGAGGAGCAGTTGGTGGGTTTGAACTGCTGACCTTGTGGTTCGCAGCCCAGTGCTGATTCTACAGAACTACACCAGGAGTCTGCTGTTGTTAGGTGCTGCCAAGTTGCTTCTGACTCATAGTCACTCTATGCATAACAAAAGAAAACACTACCAGGTCCTGCACTTCCCTTGCAATCCTTGCTATGTTTGAACCCATTGATGCAGCCACTGTGTCAATTCATGTCACTGGGGGGCTTTCTCTTTTTCTAGTTCTCTATACTTTATCAACCATGAGGTTCTTCCCTAGGGACAAAGTAGATGAGACAAAGTCTTGCCATCTTGCCATCTAAGAAGCAGTCTAGCTATACTTCTTCCAAGACAGCTTTGTTTCTTATTTTAGCAGTCCATGGACTATTCAACAATCTTCACTAACACTATAATTCAAAGGCAGCAGTTCTTCTTTGATCTTCCTTATTCATAGTCCATCTTTTGCATGCATATGAGGTGGTAAAAACACCATGGTCAGGAGCACCTTAGCCCTGAAGATGATATATTGCTTTTCAAGACTTTAAAGAAGTCTTTTGTAGCAGATTTCCCCAATGCAATATCACTTGATTTCTTGACTGCTGTTTCCATGGGCATTGATTGTGCATCTAAGTAAAATTGAACACTTGACAACATCATGATAATAATTAAATATTCCCTTGACTTATCATGATGTTGCTAATTGACACAGATATGAGGATCTTTGTTTTCATTATGTTGAAGTGTAATAATACATAAGTCTTTGATTTTCATCAGTAAGTGTTTTAAGTCCTCATCACTTTAAGCAAGCAAGATTGTGTCCTCTACATATTGCAGGTTGTTAATGACACTTCCTGAATCCTTATACTGAATTCTTCTTTGTATCATCCAATTTCCACTATTGTTACTGAAGAAAAGCAAAAGTAGTACTTAAGATAAAGCCACAACATACCTGGACCATAAAGAAGTGAGGATGCTGTAGTTCAAGGAAAAGAGCACTGATATAGTCTATGCTAGTCTAGAACTTGTGTTCAAGTCCACCCAATGCCTGTATGCCAATGGGCTTAGACAAGTCTTTAGTTGTCAATTTCATTTTGGTTATGGGGATAATAAGGGAGTGCTGTGGCTCTAGAGGATAAGCACTGGAGTGTGAACCACAAGGTCTGGGGTTCAAGCCCACCAGCCACTTTTCAGGAGAAAGATGAGGCTTTCTCATCTTAGTAAAGAGTGGGAACTAACTTGATGACACTTAATAACGACAATGGGGGTAATAATACCTGCCATACAGTTGTCCTGAGAGTAAATTGGCATGTGGCTTTACATCACAAATTGTAATATACCCAACACATTCTTTCATATAAAATAACTGCTAATTTTTTCCAATTGTGGTTCTCTAAAGGTAATTCTGAAACCTTCATAGCTACTCAACTATTTCTAAGGTAACTATTATTAACCCAATGGATTTCTAGTATTTGCTCTTTAGTTTCTGCCATAACAAAGCCTTTCTTGCCTGATAATAGGCTTATTAATTGATCGCTTCTGTCTGACTGGTGGAAAAAGCCCCGTTGGCTATCTGAAGGCTTATCTTACCAACTTGTATCTTTCTGCGGATTCTGAAAAAGTACAAGAAGCAATACAAGAAGGTATTGACCTGGTTTTATCCCTATAGTTAATCTAATTTTGCTCAAATGGTTACTTACATTGAGCTTCACATATGATTGTGTAGCTCATTTCCATGGAGGCTTTCTGAAAGGGTATTTTCACAAATAGCTGACCTGAAGCTTATCCTTTAGAACTTTGGCCTTCCTGAAGGTGGACATCCTCAGCTATAGTCATACAATCCGTTTTACAAGTTTCTATCCCTTATGGAAATGGAGCTATTGTATAGAAAACAGGGCAAGGGGTATTATTGTATTATCAGATAATAGCTAAAGAGGAATCAGAGGGTCTGGAAGGATTATTATGTTATCATCTTTTAAATGAAGAAACTTAAACTCATAGTCCTGAGGAGAGTTTTAATCCATCCTCATGGTTTCTTAGGAATTGCCTCAGCAACAATGTTTGATGGAGACAAAGATATGGCTTACTGTGACACACAGCTCCGTGTGGCCTTTGATGGAGATGCTGTCCTCTTCTCTGATGAGTCTGAACATATTGCCAAAGAACATGGGCTGGACAAGTTCTTTCAACACGAAACATTATTTGAGAACAAACCTCTTGCACAGGTAGGTTAAATGAGCTTTGTTTTTTTATTTATTTTCTTTCAGTATACAGATGATTGCTAATTGTGTGGGTTTTTTAATTATTTTAGGCAGGTCAGTCTTTTATGTTGTTTTATCCCTTGTAATTTTCTCTCTTTCATTCTTTCCCTCATGTGTATATATGTGTTTGAATTTCTCATTTTGAAGCATTTGCTGATGACAATGAAAAATTATATTATACATTCTTTGTGAAATGTTTCTATAATCTTCCATAATAATGAGTTCACCACCTCCAATTATGAGCAACAGAGTTAATAAAGCTTACTAGTAAGTATTATATAATAGGGTTTGAAATTAGTATGGTCATTTCAAATGGGTCAATAAGTATTTGTTGAACCTCTCTTTTCATGACCTAAAATTTAATTAACAGGTGTTAATTAGTTGAGCAAATGTGCAATACTGAGAGCTTGGATTGGATCAAACAGTGAGCCTAAAATAAAGACAAACTATGAGCACCAACCTGGGGGAACTTAAGAAAAAAATTGAAGCCTCAACTTTCGTT